AATAATAGGACACTAAAGAATTATACGGAACAACTAATAAATGAACAGCGACGAGATCTGAAACTAATCACAGTTTTAACGGGTTGCACATTATGACATTTCCCTGAGTCTTTTCTATTTTTTACGAATCGAAAGAAATGAAAGGCGAGTGATTGGAGCAAATCACCTTACTTTTAATCATGTCAGTTTCTGAATGGAGAATATAAAGAAAAGCGAACCTTTGCCTTTTTTTAAAAAAAAGTTTCACCGATTGCTCCTAGAGGGAAGACGTTCTTATGTTTCATGGACAAAAAATTGGCTTATTTTCAGGGCTACGAACTCGTTGCTTTGTTACTTTGAACAGCAGTTTTAAGAAATCAAACGAATCGATTTCTTAATTGTACTGTTTATAAGTGGAGTCACCTACAACACCAGATGGACTGGCGAAGTCTGTGCTACATGGTCGCAACATAAACAGCCCGCAATAGAAATCTAAGATTTCTTATTTAGCCCCTCTATCTACAGACCTCTTGGACCCAAAACGAAAGAATGATTAATTTTGTGCGTTGTGAGCGGACGTCGTGCAGGGTAAACCACATAATTACTATGGGAAGTTGCATATGATTTAATGAGTCACAAGAAAGGTGATTCGTTACAGAAAAATGCCCTAACATGTTCCGATCAACCAAACTGGGACTTGTCCACGCATAGGGGTGTTTCATCGGTCCCAGCAAAACAGAGAGAAGGGTGGGGTTTACAGCAGAATACCTCTCTTGAGCTGTCCGTGGTCCTGAAGTCTGACTTGGCTCGCTTGGAACTTGGTAATACTGCAAATGGCAATTCTATCGCATCCTAGGACTTGGATGGAGCTATTTCGCATGGAAAGAAAATACAAAATAAATGTAAATTAAAATTTAATGGTTATAATTTTTTTTACCATAGATGTTTATATTATTTTCGTTTGGATCTAACCTGGAAAAATGAAAAAGAATCTAGTTTTATTTCTTACCTTAAAAATTCCAGCGGAATAGGAAATGTGTGAACATAAAAATGATTAAGTGTTGTATTCGATATAAAAGCAGAAATTTAAAAAAGGTCCTCGTTAAGGATTAAAAACAGGACATGTGTCCTATAAAGAAGTGGTCTCTCAGCATGATCCTGGAAACCGAAGATCTTCATTTTCAGTGGTTAAAGGTCACAACAGTCTTAACGAAATAAACCAATAACAGGTTCAAATGAGGTATTAAGAGCTGGACTAAAATAGAAGCTAAAGCGTTACATTGCCACCGCTAACTTAAAGATTGATGTAAAAGACCTCAGAAGAGAACAGGTGAAATCTTATAGTCTCTCGAACCGGGAAAAAAAACGAAACAATATAACAAAATATAAAACACAGAAAAAACCCCAAAAAAAAAAGATCGTGGTGAGGCCATCCTTTACTGAAGAGGCTGCTTGTCTACACGTCTGAGCGGAGTGAGAATTTACATCTCCGCGGTTACCCTGTTTCTTTAACCACTCATTATTAACAGATACAAATCTCCCTAAATGACGTTAAAAGAAATTCAGAGCAATAATTGTTAAATTCCTGAATGAGTGCAGTTTAAAAGCTTGTGAAGAAAATCATACATGTTATCTCCGCCTAGTGGCCGGTTATACTGATACGCAACGAATTTCTGTTTTCAATAATACCTTGTCATCTATGGAAAAAAACAGACAGACCACGACCTCGAAACTGCGATCACAAATCACATCGTTTAGAAAGTGCGGTGAGAGTAAATCCGCTGCTATATATTATTTAGAAAAACAAAAACCGATGCAGTGGGCTATACTGAAACAGGAAGACCCTTCTCTTTTAGATAAAACGGTCCAATTTAATGGTTTAAAAGTATCATAAAACAATTTAGATAATTTAATAATGTGTATTTTTCTACAACAGCATAGCTTAATTATATTTGGGATTGATAAATGTGTTGCGACTGATGTAGATATACGAATTATTTAAATAATATTAGTTTCAGCAGCTATTTGCTCCCTGATAAGGGGATTTTTACGTTCCTACTTATTGCCGTTGCAGTATTTACAACTGATAACAAGAAAACTACAACCGATGCATTATTCAGTACTAGGATACTGACAAGTGTATTCAGTACACTTCTGAAGAAATATTTCACACTACCATTAAGTTCTTCAAACATATGCATTAAAGGCAAAAATAAGAGGCAATCTAGTTAATTGACTATTGCGTATATCCCAGAAAAGGCTTTCATACAAAAAGTCCTTCAGGTGTCGTTTTTATATTTTATACTGACATGCATCCAAAAGTCATAAAGCTGTATTCGAGGAAAAATACCTTATCCCTTGCAGACGAGAGTGCATAGCTCTTTAGCACCAAGGGATATTAAGTTGCCCGGTGTTTATCTGGCTCTGAATGCCTGAAGCTGATCTTCTGAGGCATCGCGTGCAAACGTAACCATAACTGTAAGCTTTACAGAAACTAAACTTTGAGCTCAATGGGACATAAATAACAGGTATATCCGGTTTTGTTTCTTTCATTAGTGCTTCGCTCCTGTTCTCAAATTGAAAGCACATAAAAAGTAACAGTAATGTCTCCCTGCTGAGAATTTAGGACTTCCCTAATCACTGCAAGAGATCTTACTCCTGAAGGGAGAAATAACCAAATACAGACATCAATCACAGAACTACATTAGCGGGGCTTTCCTTGGCACGCAACACTGCAAAGCCATTCGCACCTCACACCACGAAATTACAGACAACACTGATAAAAAAAAAAACTAATCCTATTTATTAAATGCAAATTTCAGAACCTCAGTAGATCTTTACAGCGAAATAAAAACAAACAGAAACAGAAAAGCGAGGTATTGGAAAGTCTGCAACTTGAGCTGCAAAGACGTGTGTAAACGTATGCAAGAACAAGACACAGAATGCTATCATTGCATAAGACAGCTGCTGCGGCCAGTGACCTGACTTATATTAAGTCATAAAGCAACCATTAACTTTTTTAAAATACTCCACCCTCACCCTTCTTTTTATTATACAAACGAATCACAGGTTATTCATTCAGTACTCTACAAAAAGACACTTCCGTTTGAAAGTCACTCTCCCGAGTGTCTTTGGCAGAGGAGTGTGTAAGACTTAGCTTACACAACGGTTTCTACTATGTCAGTTCTTCAATGAAATCGTCACATATCCGCAAGGTCCACACGCCGGAAATTTCAGTCTGTTTAAATCAACAGCAGCAGGTGTTTGGAGCCGCACCCGATTCAATGCAGTTTTAAAGACGTGTAATATTGTGTAATATAGTTCGTGTTGTTGTTAATTAGCGTTAAAATGAAATTGTTGCCCTCCTAGGCTCAGTTCCACAGTCCTAAAAAAAGCTGTTTCTTAAAGCAGGATCATTTCTTTCAAGTTTTGTACGTGCCGGAGACCTTACTTAAAAATAAATATTAAGTATTAATAATATTCAGTGCATTAATATGACTTTTATAGATAATAAACATATTTTGTTGTAAACATAAATAACGAATATTCACACGAATACGGGAACAAAAAATCATATTCGGAGTAAAGGTTGTAGTTTGAAACATTTCACTTTAGTTTATCAAAATGATGATAAAAAGCTACATTTAAAAGACATTCCACAATAAACAGAAAATATTTCCCCAACAATACACCTATAGCATTTATTACCTTTAGAAAAGTGAAAATGTAAGAAATGCAAGTGTTATAAATTTTACAATTCATATTTTCTAGTCTACACACAAAGCATGCATTTGGAAGTTTTCAATATTAACTTTCACATAATTATTAATTATAGTAATTTCTTAACCATTTTATCGCGACTTCAATGCTATCTAGTGTCCATCAGAATATCATTTGTTTTTAATATTACTTCATTATGTAAGTATTACTTCAGCTCAGACATTTGAATCCATTTTATCTTTTTCGTATATAATTCTCTTGTTTATTATTAATTCATTTTGTACAAGGATGGATGATAACATAGAACAAAACATGTCATATATACTTGTGAAATAGAAATGTGTGCATTTCTTTCACATATGACTGCGGTAGGTTCACAGATAAGGAAAGGGCTAAATGAGTCATGGGAGCAACACTGAAGGAACCTGTATTACTAAAAATGACAAATTCAGAAAAATGTCTATTCACGTTTCTATATATAAAGAAAATAGCAGTAAATATAAAACATTTAATTATCTGATCCAAATGCGCCACCACAGAAGCAAACTTTAAATATAGCCTAATTAAATAAAGAAGGGGGTCATTCTGTGAAACTATTTTTCAGCTTTCATTTGAATGCATTTAAATATTCTTCTAAATCTTCTAAATAAATATTCTAACTATTCTTTAAAATTCCTGTGATATAAAATTAGACGGATATAGATAACTCCTCTCATAGTATGTAGTGAAGGGGTGTGTTAGTAGGCCCTTAAAATATTACATTTCTAAATGAGTTACAATGATGAAAATAAACCTAACTCCAAGAAATAAATGGTAAGGGAACAGTCAATATTTTGTAACAATTCAAAGAACATTGTTGAACGGGACTGTCGAGGTTTTCATTGTCTGTAAAAACAGAAATAAAAGGCACATGAAAGTACATGTTAAAAACATAAAATTACGTGTGTAGAACAAAGAAAAGAACTGCGATGAAGCTCACAACTCCTTCGTAATGCTTCCCATACGTTTTTAGTTTTGTTTTCATAATCATTTTTCCCACTGTGTAAGAGTTCAAGGATTTTAAAACTTTTCTTCTTAATTAGTACTTTAATCTTGGATATTTAACCAACATATACAGTACAGTTCATATATCATCTGTTTTTGTTATTCTGTTTATACGATTTGCTGTAAAACCTTGTACTCAATTTCAATTTGAATCCTTCTGTGACGAAGCACAGTACTTTCCTCTAAAGTCTAACACATAAAAGAAGAAACAGAGTGACAGTAACATAAATTTGGACGTTTTTATTTTTTAAATAAGTGGTAAACAATAGATACATTTGGATAGTGAATTCAAGTTAATCTAAAGATACATTAATGTTATATGTCACACAAATACTAGTTTTATTCCATAATAGTTTCTTGTAGTGAAAGAATGAAAATTGCTATCGAGATGTGTAAAACAATAAAGCGGAAAGTGAACAATAATTGAATACAAGTGCCAGTCAGTTTAGATAATAAATCATAGTTTGTCATAAGACAACAAATAGAAAACAAGTTAAAATATAAGATTAATACAGGACACAACACAAGGGAAGAAAGGCAACACAGCTACAGTCAGGCTTCACATACCAAACACTCGACCAGAAAGAAACAAAAAACAAATGGTTGTGCTAGTTCTTAAAAGCAATTTAGCGGTTCTTTCTATTTCTAATTAAATTATTACAAGTCGATATTGTGTAAATACACTAATCACGTTTTAGGACAGCAGGCACACAATCTCGGGAATTTGGAGACCCCAGTATTTCGCGCATTGCCAGATTCCCGTATGAGTTTATGATTGATTTGTCGATGTAGAAAATAAAAATACATTTATCAGTGAGCTAAGCTAAACACACTCCGTCTCCAACCCTTTTATTTTATCAGCGTGTTTCTTGGGCTACATTTTTACAACAGGAATAAATCGCCTTCGTGTAAAGTACGTCTTTTTAATTTCATTGCGCACATTCAAAATAAACGGATGTATTATAAACTTATGAGTTGAGACCTGTGTGACAAATACAATCAAACTAAATAAACTTCTTCCGAATATCCGAATTAATAAGAACTACTTGCGCATCACAGCACACTAACACAAGGAACAGCATTGGTTTTTATTGCCTACCGTGACGCCAGCTGTTTTACTGTAGCAATGCTGTTTCCCCCTGCCACCTACAGTATGTTAGCGGCTCTAAGGTATTGTGTTGTTACGAGCGGCTGAAAGAATGGTTAGTCCCCAACCATCAGCTCACGCAGTGCTGACCCTGCACGCAGTACACGGGAGGCGACAGAGGCAAACTTTTTAAAAACCGTGGATTTACTGAAATGCGTAGCGCGTATGGATGACTGTGGGTGTGTGTATGAGAGAGAGAGAGAATTGGAGGGAGAGTGAGTGAGAGAGCAAGCGAGAAAATGATAAAAGAGAGAGATCACACTTCAAGAGAGAAGGAAAAAGATCACCGTGTGCAACAAACCGCGAGTTCGAGTGTTGAGAGCTATGCTTCTGCCATTGTACTGTTCATGAGAAATCATTTGACCTGGGACTTGATGACAAGACTATGAATACGGAGGGTTTTAAACCACCAGAGTGAAGCAGCGGTGGATGTGTGTTGGATTTAAAGGGCTCTGAAATTATTTGCAAGGCACCTTAACTTACAGGTTCTTAAGTGAACAAATTGTAGGCTTTAAGTAAAGAGATTTTTTTCCGTTTTAATATTACCTGCAATTTCGCGAAATCAGACCCAGTCGACTGCATATACAGTGTATGAAACTACTGTTTCTTTTTTTCAAGAGAAGGTGAGAACGCTCCGAAGCGCGAGTGTAATCAAAGTCGGCACTTCTGAGCAGGAGAGTGAAAAACCTGCACCGACTGTTCTTCGCTGCCAAGAAAAAATTGGATCAGTGAACCTCCGTTCGTTTCATCTGGCTTATTATTTCCAGTCGCCTTTTCTGAACAAGTCTTCGGAGCTGTAGCAACGGAGAACCTGAACATGACTGAGAAACTCGGAGCAGTCCAAACACCAGGTACTTATTTATTAAGTCCCACCTGAATACATTTTACAAATAAACACTAGCAAAAACTTATATCATTTCTTGGCACACGTATCAGACTTTATATGCCCTTAATTATAATCTAGGCTGCCAAGAGTCTGAACAACTTTTAATCTTCCCGTAGGATTTATTAACAAACTTATCTCTCTATAGCCTATTCATGATTTAGATAAGTAAAGCAGTTATGTCCCTTGAAACGGTTTTTTTTTAGAAATACGACTCACGCAATAACACGTTTTCCCAATCATTGTACGCTAAAGTTAAACGATGAATTAATGTCACTGTATAAAATCGCATATTAATTTCAAATGTTAATGCCAGTAAAGAGGCACACTGGAAAAACTGATGATTTTTTTTGTGCAGTATCTTTTATTTTTTCCTTGCGCTGATATCTTTTCAGACACGAAGATGAATATTAGAGGAGTATTTGAGGAGATCTCCCAGTCCCGGCCGTCTTTGCAAAACGTCCTGCTGGCGTCCTTGACGTTGCTGGCGGTCCTGCACTTTTCAAAAAGGTTCCAGCGCTGGAAATACGCACACCGGCCTGGGCGGTCAGGTCCACCGGGCCCTTTTCCCTGGCCAGTCATCGGGAACGCCGCTCAGGTTGGGGACGCCCCTCATCTCTATTTCGCACGAATGGTAAGGAAATACGGGCACGTTTTTCAGATCAAGCTTGGCTCACGCACCGTTGTCGTTCTGAACGGAGAAGAGGCTATCAAGCAGGCGCTCATCAAGCAAGGTGCAGATTTCGCCGGCAGACCCGACTTCACGTCTTTCAAAATAGTGTCGAACGGCAAGAGCCTGGCTTTCGGCCGCTATGGGGACGGGTGGAAAGTTCACAGAAAGATCGCCCAATCCACCATCAGGGCGTTCTCCACCAGCAATCCTCAAACCAAAACAGCGTTCAAACAGCACGTCATCGTGGAGATCAGGGAAATGCTACACTACTTTCTGAGAAAAAGCAAGGAGGAAAAGTATTTCCAGCCAGGGAGATTTTTGACCGTGGCCACCGCCAATGTAATGAGCGCAGTGTGTTTTGGAAAAAGGTACAGCTATGACGACGCCGAGTTCCAGGCAGTGGTTGGCAGAAACGACCAGTTCACCCAAACGGTAGGAGCTGGGAGCATCGTCGACGTTATGCCTTGGCTCCAGTACTTCCCAAACCCCATTAGGACGATGTTTGGTAACTTTAAGAGACTTAATGAAGACTTTTACGCATTTATCCAAGACAAGGTCATTCAGCACCGAAGTACTATGAAGCCTGGTACCATCCGAGACATGACCGATGCTTTCATATCGGCTCTTGACAAAGGTCTGACGGGTTCGAACGGTGTTCACCTGGGGAAAGAATATGTGCCATCTACTGTAACGGACATCTTCGGCGCTAGCCAAGACACACTCTCCACAGCCCTGCAGTGGATCGTCCTGCTGCTCACAAGGTAAAGCTTCACTGCCCTGCCTTTCAGTGTCGACATTCAGACGCTGCACTACTGGTCTTACATTCTAAAGCCGTACAGGCGCAAATCCTTAATGTTATCAGAATTAAGACTTTTATGTATAATGCAAAACGTAGCAGGTTGCAGGTAAATACCTAATTTTTAGAGAAATTGAACATTTTCAACAAGTCCCGGTTTCACTGAGTGCGATCTTCATTTGCACAGAGAAACGCTCGCCCGTTTTTTATTATTACGAACTCCGGATAAAAATAGACCGTTTTATATACAACAGATGTCAACATGTGTTTAGAAAAGAAGCAATATACAGTACTGTACGTGATGGGGACAATCTAGCTTCGAAAGATTGTCTGGGATTAGTTCCTATTAGGTTTACTAATAGGCCTATTAAGCTTATTAAGTTTTGTGGGAGCAATTTCACAACACATACCTAAGAAACAGATTTTTTTTTAAAAAAAATTCTACCAAGGAACGCATTCTTTAATTTGCTGACTTTTCTAAGAATGTTACACAATCCGTGTTAAAAACCTCTGTATCGCTCTAGATGGACCTGCGTTTCCCTTTTCATCTGACTTGCTTCTGTTCTCTGGACATACTGGCAAAATGAGTTAAAGTTATTTTCACCCTATCGTTTTCTGCTGCGTAATTTATACTGTACATCACAAGAATTAGCCTCCTTTGTCTTAGGGGAGGGAAGGGAGTTTTGAGAGCACATCACATTAAATATAACCATACAGAGGTAAGGGCCCACGAGCAGATCCATTTGTGCTCCGCACTCATTCACAAACGTGACAAGCAAGAGTCTGTTTGTTGTGGGTGTGTTTTGTGGGAGGAGACGGAGGAGGAGAATATTCACTCATAATTTTCCAAGAGTTTACTTACTAAGTTGTGAGGCTTGTTCATTATACGCTGTAAATTGCATTGCTGTATCCCGGGTGGAGGTTACGCGTGCCAGCAGGTGTGTGGGTGTATGGAATTATAGCGAATTAGATGAGGACAGATATTGATACCATCTAGTTTTAGTTGTTGACTAAAGACCCGGAACACTGGTATAAAAGGCAACAGAGAAACAATTAAAGGCTAATTCCACGCTGAAAAGTAGCAAAGAGGTCACAATTCAGCTGTTAAGCCTTCTTCAGGTGTGAGGGAGAGAAGAAAGTCACCGAGATCTTAAGCAGGATAGCTATCTAATAGCTGGCACACACACACAAAAAAATGGCTGGAGTATTTACCAAGTTTCTTTTAGAATATTACGTGTATTGGGTAGCACAGTGCAGTCCTGGTTAGCACTGCTGCCTCATGCCTCTAGGGTCCTCCACTCCATTTCAGCACTGGGGTACAGACTATGTCGACTTTGATCAGTTAGTCCCCCATATGTACATCAGAGTGTATCCAAAACACAGAACAAAATGCAAAATGCCCCCCCAAAAAAGCACAGGATTCTTTCTCCCCTCACTGTAAATTTAACTCTACCCCTTTCCCTAACCATAATTTTAATCCCATCCTTAAATCCAACCGTAACCCTACCCCTGGGCTAATGGCCATTCATAGACTCCGCATGGACGATGAGGAAGCACGTGCCCTTCCTACAGAACATTAGTTACACTGCTCCATCCTGGGGAAAAGGGGAAGACCACCTGTGTGTCGTCAGTCACTCTTCTCACACTGTGCTTCTGGAAAGTGCTCCGGCTTGTTGTGACCCTTGCTAGTTGGCTCTAAGCATCTTTCTGAGAATGGTTGCATAAAATAATTGTTCTAAACTCCAAGGCAATTGTATAAGTAGCACAAGATATCTTATGATCTCACATTCTGCATTCACATGACTCCCCTTGCTCAGCATGGATTTTGCTTGAGCAGCGACGTTTTTTTTAGAAAGTTTTTTCTTAAATCTTTCATTTAAAACAAAACACAGAGTGGAAATTCCAAAAGTTGGAGCAGAAAATTCCTTGACTTCTAATGAGGGCCAATTCATATGAAAACAATGACCTAAAGGAGGAGCACACAGCTCAGATGATTCATGCATATGCAGTATATGTAATTAATATATCAATTACGGTGTGTAAACCATACCAAGTGCAGTGTTTCCAGCAGAGGGCATCAGTACTCATTACAAACAAACTAAACCTACTTTACTTGGGACTACAGACTAGAAAAGAAGGAATTCCAAATCAGAACCAGACTTGGATTATCCACATCAGAAAATAAAACAAATCGAAATGTGCAAAATAATCTTGTTTTCCCCTAAAAAATACTTTTTTTTCCTTTTAGGGGTCTGCTGTCTTGGGAATGCACACTTTCCTTTAACTTTCGCCAGCAGCTACCTTACCTCAATACTCATTGCAGAAGAACTGGTGACATGGCACAGCTATCCCTACTCTAAGCTTGCCTCCCTGGGGATGAATAAAGTATTTTGAATTGGATTCTTCGATTTTCGCACTGTCATGAGTTCCTGATGCCTCTTTCCTTTCTGGCGGCCCACTCTTATAAATTGCACAATCACTTCTTCTTCTGGCGGGCTTTCCCCATTTCCCAGCGAACATGATTACATTCATTGCGACGTGAACAGGTCAGTTAGAGACAGCTTCCCAAAGGGAGGCTGATGTAATTTCTCGGTCCTGGTCGGTGTTTCACTGGTCGTTTGCACCTTCCTGTTCCCTAGGTTCCAGGGGATACAGATGCGCCTGCAGCAGGAAGTGGACAACGTCGTTGGCAGGAGCCGCCTACCTTCCATCGAGGACCAGGCCAGTTTGCCCTATGTCATGGCGTTTATTTACGAAGCGATGCGGTTTAGCAGTTTTGTGCCAGTCACTATCCCTCATTCCACAACCACCGACACCTCCATAATGGGGTACCACATTCCCAAAGACACGGTGATCTTTGTCAGTCAGTGGTCGGTCAACCACGATCCGCAGAAGTGGCCTGACCCTGAGGCCTTTGATCCCCTGAGGTTCCTGGATGAAACTGGAGCCCTAAATAAAGACAAGACAAGTAGTGTTTTGGTCTTTTCTCTGGGCAAAAGGAGGTGCATTGGGGAAGATCTCTCCAAAATGCATCTCTTCCTCTACACTTCACTCCTGGCACATCAGTGCAACTTTAAGGCAAATCCAAATGAACCAGAGAAACTGGATTACACTTACGGCTTAACCCTTAAGCCGACACCTTTTTCCATCCACGTGACGCACAGGGACACTATGGAGTTACTAGATTCCTATGTCAAGGAGTTGCAGAAATCAGAAAGCAGCGCATAAATGACAGAACAAAAAAATGTACAGTAAATGCAATTTTTAATGATGAAGGTTCCGAAAAATACTGAAGTAGATCTTGCTTTGTACATTTGTGCCACCAGCGTTTCATCAATGAATCTGTAGACTCAGGTGAAACTGAATTATCTTGCCTTTTAATTATAGAGGGCTCCAGAGCTATAGCAATTTAATATATTTTTTTTTTTGTCAGCTAAACAATGTTCTGATGTGAGTGAATATACAGGTTTCAATAGTGAGCAAAGAGCAGAAAAGGGATAAAATTGACCAGTTAACTATCTAGCTGTGATTCATGCCGAGAGCAGATGATTTTAATGAATGGGTTCGGTGATGTTGACATCACACACATGAAAGTACCATGCAGTCCTGGTGAGAAAAATACCGTCTTTTGATGCTTTTTTATGTATTCACTTGCCAAGACAAGTGAATACATAAAAAAGCTGATTTGCTTTACTTTGCACATTAGTTTATCCTCATGGATAAAAACGACCTCATTTTAACTCTTCTTTTACTCATATCAACAACATATTAAGGTACATTCCATACTAAAAGAATAAAGATGCTAGAAGAACTGAATTAAGTTTTGCACATTATACAGAATGTTTAAATTCAGTGCAGCGTATTGCCTTTCACAGTATTTTCATTTATTCTTGTGCTTTTTTGTGCATTACCAGCAGATGAAGTTTCAGGTCTCTAGTGTTAGATGCAGCAACAAGAGATTTGCATGCTGTATTGTACGACTACTCAAGTGAAATTAGAAAACTTCTACAGTTTGTTCTTTTTTATAACACTTTTATAACATTTTAAACTAAGCTAAGATAATATGTACAGGGAAGCAAGTCAGGAACTTTGTTAAAAAAACAAAAGAGTATGAAAAAGCCTGAAAGCTATTCTAATAATGTTGATTTGAAAAATGTGGAAAAGCAGAGCATCTTTGCAAAACATATTGGTTCACTCTTGCTTGATCTCTGTTATGAGCCAATATGTATACAGAAGATACACAATTCATTTGGATTATAGAACAGTAAGTTCACATTTGGCACTGTAGTCATCTAAAGTGATTTTGACTTCAAAACCTAATAATTAACCTTATTATTGCTCTTTAACCCAGTTAGCCAAAATAAAATGTTAGCCTGTATTTGTATGTCATTTTGGGCATTGAAAGACTCTCAGAATTTGAAAATGAATTATGTACTATGCACATATGCATTTATTTAAAAATAGTTTATATTTCTATATACTATCTTGTTATAAGTTGTTTATGAAACTGGACAACACCCTAAACCATTGTTCAAATGTCTTGGTTGTTAAGAAATGTATTTGTGTTTTCATCTTATTGCAATATTAGAATATTCCTGAAAACTAAAATTTGTAAAAAATGCCAATAAGCATCCAATAAATACCAGGCTGCATTAGATTTGAATTTTTATATAAATCTATGGAATTGCTTAAATCTCTAAAATCCATTAAGGTAACTCTTAATTAGCTGGCAACCATTAGATACAATACATATGGTATCTTCTCCTTTCATTGTTAAATTATCTTGCAAGGTATGCTTCACCAGTCTTCACTGGATAAATGCTTTTCAGGTTCAATAAACAAAACCTCAGGGATGAATCAACTGTACATAATTCTTGAACTTAGCCTGTTTCTGTGAACTGCTGTATAAATATACTTTATGAATTATTTTCTTGCTGTAGATTTGTATTTGATCTGTTTTATTATCAAATGTGTTATAGAATTTTGTGGAATGTGTTATAGAATCAAATTATACAGTTCATCTAGTAAAAGTACACAGATATGTTTATTAATTGTTATTTTTATTTTTTCTTAAAAGCTTAAACATTTAGAAGGCTGCTATTCTGAATCTCTTTATCCAAATCCTACTGTTAAGATCTTTAATTTAAATAGCACAGCACAGTTCTAAATTTGATCATATCATATACTTAAAATATATAATATATTTAGAGAAACTAAAGAGTTGCTTAAGGTCATTAGACTATATCATGGAACAGCACAGTTTTTAACCTTTTAAATCAACAAGATTTAGTTTTGTATTTTTTAATTGTTTTGTATATTTTTGTATTTTTTAAGGGATGTTTTTTTTTAAATATGCATGATATTCATAGTCGTATTCACTTATCATGCTACTTGTCTAAGGCATTAAATAAAGATGATGAAGGAAATTCCAATCTCTGGAACATACGAGCGTATCTGTTTTCTCTGTGGAAATTCAATTCCAGTTCTGCAGGAACTTTTTCCTGTCTCATAGAGCATCCCTCTAGGAGGTTTTTGGCTGTTTGATTTCTTTAAATGGGAAGATAGACGACTCAGACTGCACTTTGATTTTATATCAGTAAATGATAGTGATAAAAATGATTGGTGTTCTAATCCAAATGAAAAATGACTGACCAATGTTAATCTCCAATAAGTAAATATACTGTTTAGCATGGGTATTGATACTGAAATATATGTAACAATGGATCAGAATTGAGCAGAAAGTCACTAGAACAAATCCATACACTGACAGAAGCTTACGGCTCCAATCTATGCTGAATCTTGGTCTCGTTTTGTGTGGATACCAATTTTAGCAGTACCATTCAGTTTTTCGTAAATGTCTTGAAACCAAACACCTCTACTAAAAGGGGGTTTGCAATAATTCATGAAAAACATACCGTCTATCAAGGTTTGTCTTAGCGGCAGCTGTTACTGCACACAATTGCAGAAAATTGTGCTCCCCTGGAATGCATTATGGGTAGCTTTTCCATGCAGCACAAGAACAAAAGGGAAGTGTTTGAGATAACCTTTCCTTGTGTGATGCTTTATCTTTGTCTCTTAGAACATCCTGTACTTTATCAGCAAGGCACTCACAACCAACCAGCAAGCTCTGAGTGCGTCACAAGTTTAGATAAAGAACGTTGATTGCTGATAAGTACAGAAAAGGAAAAATATTCCCAACCTTTGGATCAACAGCTACTTCAAGTGAGTAGTAAAAGTAAACCAAAGAAAACAATGTTAACACAGATCCAGTTCAGGAGAAACCGTCATGTTCAACTGTCAATATTTCACACATTTTTTTAAAGATTTTATTTATCCATATTTAGTTATTGTAATGTGGTAGACTAAAACGTGTTTCATTAATAAAGGCAGAATGATGAGGAATAATAATAAAGAATAAAAGAATCCTCTGAAAAGAAAGCACAGACTGCAAAGGACATGCAACACTGATAATTGCTGTACATGTTAATATTGTGAGAACCCTAAATAAAAATAAGACCAAAAATGCAGTAAGAGTTTAATCTGTTGTACAAATGTATTCCGCAAGTACGTCACTGACTCCAGGAGTAAATATTCATTTTGACCGATTATCGCAATAAATCCATCTTAAGAATTGAGCTAAGTAAACTACTGAGGCTGAACTATACATCTTCAAAACGTATTGAGTGATTTATTGAGAATAAGCGTCTACTGTAACTGACAATGCAACCCTGAGGGTATGAACAGCACAGTACTTGCCTGTGTTTTCCTTGTTAGGTAACAAGGCCGGCTTGCACTATATAAACAACATGGATATAAAAAAACTCTTGGTGCACATTTAAAAGCATAATTCTCTACAGAATATTTACCTCAGTCTAAAAACATGAGTGACTGTTCCACTCTCAGTGCTGGACTGCTATGAAACAAACAGAAATACAATATTATGAAATCCATTAGTCAAACTACAGCCTTACCAGTGAGAAAAATAAAAAAAGATTGAATTTCACACAGAAGCTAATTACTGCCTGAAGGGTTTAGGAAAGATCTCACAGAATTAAAAGGAAAACACCCTGCACTGATTAAACATCTCTCCCTCACAACAGCAAGCCAGACTTGGAGGGTACATTACCTAAGGCGCACTAGGTACAGAAACATGAAATGAAACCGTAACGTTCTGTGGACAGTGTGCAGAGACCTTGGGGAAGAAACAGCTTTCAAAGTTTACCACTTCATTCCTGCAATTCATAAATGTCACATGCACCTGTTTCTGTCTGTGTGATCTACCGTGCAACTCCAAAGACAAAGTCAACTTCAGCCACACCAAAAAGAAAATGAAGGAAAAACATTAACAGCTCGAATCCTTTAAATTTGGCTAGAGCAATGAAATGTGAAGGGAGTAAGTCTCGGTAAAGAACATATTTACACAGCACAATGATGAGATTAGTCCATTCTTTTTTCTGTCATTTGTGCAGCAATAGTTCCAAGAGGAAGTTTTCATTTCCATTAATGTCTACTGTTTGTATAAAAGAATACCAAGATAACCTTCAAAGTGAAACATGCTGCAGGCATCTAGCTGTTTGTCTAACACAAGCTTTTAATCAGAGGAAAGCTGAAATGTCAAGTACTGCATGACAGGTATCAGAGCCCTCCTGTCAGTGCGCACAGCTTTCACAGCGAAGGAAGCAGAGGATGTGAAGCATTACTGAAACTGTCTAGGGAGACGAACATTTGTGGAGAACTAGAAAATAAAAGCAGTGAAATAGTAAATATTTGAAATCCGCAATAAACCTCAACACTTCAGGCAAGATGGCATGGACAGGCAGAGGTATGTAAAAAACAGCTTACAAGAGAATGCGAGCTAAATGAACCAAACGGATATCATTATTATTAATAATAATAATCATCATCATTAAGCTGTACAAGCATCTCTAAGTCACACTCTTTAATTTCACTTCCTATCAAATAGCTGATCAACACCTGGCATATCATGAGCACATTTTGAAGAAATAACATGTTGTACAGAAGCTAGACCTTTTCTAATAACCTTCCCAAATTTCATTGTCTTTTTAAAGAGGATTACAGTACAGCTCAAGCACTTTTAGATATGTACTGAAAAATCAACGCAACTTCCTGCAGTGTTATTAAAATTCTTAGTGTTTTTAGATTTTGTTCTGCTGTGTTGAAAATGAGGAAATTAAAAAACAGGAATCGGTGGCAAACCCAGGAAACTTGCTCACCCAACCAAGCAGCATTTTTGAAAATATAAAAACGGCAGGTTATATAGGAAACAACCTGGAAAAAAACATTAAAATTTATTAACTTACCCACATCCACAACATAGAAATCAGCCACACTTCAAAACTGGTCATTTTAATAAATGTGATTTATTGCATAATACAGTAAAAATACCTTTAAAGTATCTAAAAGCCCTTTTATATATTAAATTGTATTATTTAATAAAATGTAAATATTTTTTATGTACATCATTTAAAAAGAATACATTCAATATGTTAATTCATTGCAATGTTCCCATATTTGAATTCATATTTAATTCTATAACGTAGTATAAAGTTTTCACAGAAACAAACCAACACAATTAACAAAGGAGAAATACGTCTTCTAGAATCACTAAGTCTCCAACACAATAATGCCTCCAGAATTAAATGCCAAAGTATCAATATTCAAGATATCCTTAAACACTGGTAATATAACTAGTGTTAAATACAAAAGCTCACAGTTTTGTGTCATTTACTGACCATAGTTTTGGAAAAAGAAAACCCTCCCTGATAGTGCCATATATATGTAGTGAAAAGATTTGCTTGCTTGTTATTGCAAGTTGTATGATTTTGTAGTTGCTGTTGGAAGCTTGGTGTGAAAACGCAGTTAAACATCCAGATGAGCTACTTCTACCTTGACACTCTGTAAAATCAAACTTGGGCGCTGAAAGGTTTTTTTTTACAAGAAACATTTCTCTCCATTACACCTTAGTTTTGATTTCAGAATCTCTTCCATCTGGAGTGACATTCATCTAGTTTTGCAAGGTTCATATCTGTGGGGATTACTGCAAACTTCAGAGCCTAGCCAGGTACAGCTATTCAAGAGCTTAAACATTCAAATCTAACCAGCTGGGTGCTTTCCAAGCAGTTTATTTTATAACTGCTTAAGGAGACGTTTTCTACATAACACATTTTATTGAACTCTTCCTATTAATGGAGAATAATGTTACTGCCTTTTAATTCACATATTGGAAAGTAAACAGCTGGTCAGTGATTGTCTACAGAATAACCCAGCAATCACCCTCTGGTATTGCGAAACTAAACCCAACCATGAAAGCAGACTAACCTATACTTTAACTGCTGTCTAGAGGTTTGCTTATCTAAAATACTTCATTTAAGATACAGTATGTATATTTAGATGGGATTGTATTTAAGACATAAATGAGACAATATTCTCCTAATACCAACTTCAAATTCACTTTTAAAAGAAAAATAAAATTCTGTCCAATGAAATAAAATTTCCATCTAAAACATTTTCACTTGAGCACAAATATTACATGATAGACAAAATCATGACATTAACCCAATATCAATTTATTTTCTGCCTGTGACTGGAAAAAAGCTGAAGAATAAATGAAGAAAATATAAAAATGTTTCTTACTATTAACTGAAGGTATTTTGGAGACCACAATTATTGAAGATGCTTGCTTGTGTTTTGTTAGAAACTTCCACCAGATATTTAAAAAAATAGAGATATAGGAACAACATAGAGAAATCTGAACATGATATTTCCAGTGCAAGGACACTATCTTCTTAGGAAACTGTGCTATGTTTCTTGGGCATGAGGTCTCAGAGGTGAGTGCTCTGCAGGATCTAAGCATTCCTTTGAGTATATTATACAAGCAGTCTTCTTCAAACCACATAACCCGTTGTGCAAGGGTGTCTGTCATTTGTTGTCAGTTTGAGATAATTACAGTCACTTTGTCTTGGCAAAGGATCACAGAGAAATACAAATGAGGAAGCACATTTCTTTTTAAAGAGCTTAATGCCATCCACACAGAAACCTGTGACAATTTATCAAACTGACTTTTCAGGTGCATTGTAGTATAATCTTGTATAAACAAAATTCAGTGATAAATCAGTGCTGCTAAATGTACTTTGATTGCCCTAAAATTAGTTGAGCATGTTCCATTAAGCCATAAAAGAAATTTCCTAACATAATCTAAGAGACTAATCCACAAAAGTCTGTACATGTCACCCCAACTCCAAATCAGTGTTAACTTTGCCCTGCAGAAGAAGAGGCAATTGGTAAGAGCTTATAAACCTAGAGAAGATATAATGGAATCCAGTTCCTTCTGGGCTTCTTTGTCCTGAAAGAAAATGAGGTAATATTTAGTTTTCTATTTTTTAATATCTATACAAAATTAAAATTTGATCATTTATTTGAGTGAGCTGTTCAGATTTTATGAGTCCAGACTACGGCCATATACTGTATATTGATCTGTGGAGTTCTTTTGGTGCACCTTCAGACACTGCTGACGAGGGGTTGAACAGGTTTAGGAACATATAAACCAGTGGATTCATAACTAGGGTCTCAAAAAGACCTATAAACTAAAACAGGGCTCATGCTAATCAAACATGTTATACACAAACAAAAACTTGCAGTTTTTTCCCCACATATCTGTGGATTTCAATTAGAGATGAATCAGAACTGAAGCACGACAAAACATACAGAGGAAAGAACAATTATCAGGATTACCAATCTTTATCACTATCATTCCAAGGTATTCTTCTGACAAAGATTAATACACTAAGAAACTGTTAGCAGTCATAAAATGACTTTTGAATGGAAAAAAAGAACTGTACAACAGACAAACTGATCTGATATAATATTTTCCTCTTACAGCTTGCGCCATGAACAGAAGACAAGTTATAAACAAGAGGAAAACATTAAGCCCATTTTATAGAACCTTCCAAACCCACTCCTCCAAAACTCAGATCTGCATGAAGCACCATAGATGACTAGAAGCAAGACAGATGCAATGAAGTTATGACATATATCTGTCTTGCTTCTAGTCATCTTATGACCTGGTGTTCCTGATGCAGTATAACTGGTGATGTGAAAACATCATGAAGAGCATGATGCAGTGTGATGATGTGTTGATCTTGGCGAAGCGTCATGACTTTTATTTTCCCAGATGGAGGCGTTGATGGACTGTGTTTGGCAGTAATGTCTTTGCAGGTCACAAAGTGCTGGCTTTGGAAATGTATTCACAGTGACATCACGTCTTGATCCTTTCACCCACTATTAGGGACTGATGACTGGGATTTGACCATCGTGACACAGGTTAGTTTGACCCTACTGATGATATGATGTTGCAGTGGTCATCCTGACTCGAGAACAACTGCAGGTTTGGACATTTGATGGGATTGTCTGAGGAGCCAATGGTGTGAAGCTACCATCTGTATGATTATAATTGAACGCCATGAAGTCAATCTCTGCTAAAAGGTTCCTGGAGCTGTAGATTGGGCACCCCTGACCAATTACCATAAATTCAGTATATTCTCATTTATAAAACAGGGTTATAAACAGGGTTAAAGTATAACACCTTTAAACATGCTGAAACAAAGAACAAACAAAGGTGAAATTCTCAGAAAAGAAAGATGTTCACTGCTGCTGAACACTCAAACTCAATAAAGACCAACGGTAGTTTTACTCCTTAGTTTATAACGTGTGAGTGAGTTTCCCTCTATGAACAGTGATGGTGATGTCACAGGTATTTTGTGAAACGCCCAGATGATTCCATTACCATCGATGAATTCACTCCGAGTTGTGAAAACCCTTTGACATCTTCTTGGAAAATGTGACTCGGCTCTTTGCTCTCCCACAGCCATACTGTACAGCTGTGGTCAGATGCATCATAGTGCAGTCAATCCAGAACATACGGGGAAGTGATGAAGGATGTTTCACAGTTTTACAACATCTGAAACCCGGTCTCACAAAACAGACCTATACCACATGACTTTTTGTTTTTCTTTTTTTTTCCAAATAAAGCACACGACCGCTGTGTAAAAAGGATTCCTTGAAGTAGAGCTTCACTAACTGACACCAGATTATAGATCTCAGAAAGGCCATTTTGATTAAATTGATCCTCCCCTTAATCCAAGTCTTTACAGTCATAAATATTATATTTTATGAATGAAGTAACTATAGAGTTCCACTTTTTTCTTTAAAAGCTGTGTCATGGTCACACGCTGAGAGAAGTTTTGTTTTGAGTAAGAAAATGAAAACAAAGATCAGTATTTTCTGAACTATTCTACTGCTGGAAAGAGATTTCCACTCATTAAGGACTTCCCCAAAACAGGCTGAAGACCTCGTGAAACTAAGAAATATCACAAAAACGGTGTCCTAAAAAGATGTAATAACAATAACACATTCAAGGATGAAAATATCAGCAATATAAAAGAAACCACAAACAATATTCACCTCCATATTACTAACTAATGATGCCTTTTAGCTTTCATACTGAAGCCACAGGTTCCCAATGCTTGACAAGTTACAAAATTAAAGTTATGGAAAGAAACTGTTTTAAGAAAAGTGTTTAACATGCTCTTACTTCAAAGTATTTTTACTTTTAACATCCTATCTGGAGCCCCATTTTTAAAAGCTACAAAAAAGCCTCAATTCACTCTATAGGTTTCTACAGGTTTGGTTTTCATTAACTGCTGTTTAGACCACGACAGTAGATTCATTTGGTCTTTTCCAAGAGCTTCTACTTACTTCAAAGCTGTAGTGAATGATAGTGTACTTACCTCATTAGAAACTACTTCCATTGACGATGCTGCATTACACCACTGCAGTGCATGGGCTCTTTGACCTAGATCTCTGTAACACTAAAAAAAAAATAAAACTGTCATGAACTTTCAAGGTAGGTGTACAATATTCTGATTAAATTCTCATCACATTAATGCCACAGATATAATTGAATTGCTTGTCGAGATTATAAACAAACTTCTAGAATTCAAGAGAAGGCAGTTATAATCTCTTCATGTCCACAATATGAATGTGTAATAAATGTTTTAGAACACAACACAAAAATCTCTAGAATATAATGGAAACCAGTAACATGAATCTCTATATAGGTCTAACAACTTTTGCATGTACAACATATATTCTACAACTGCTTTTTTTCTAAGAGAGACATTAACGAAAGAGACTTGCTGATGGTTCCACTTACCTTTGCTAAGAAGACATAATTAAATTTGGAATACTTTGGGCGGATTTCTTCTACCTAAAGGGAAAAGAGGGATCATGTGGGAAATTATGGACACATTTTCACATAGCAAAGCCCAAATGATGTGATTACACACAGCTTTAGTAGATGTGGAGAGGAAGGCCTGAAGAAGGCTCCACGGCCAAAACATCGCATCTCTTTTCTTTTCAGCAGGGAATAAAACTATCTGCTCATAGGGTTAGTAAAGTCAGAATGTATTCATCCATTCACTACAAGAAAGCTGCTTTTCTTGGAGCTGACAGAATGAATGTAATTGCATTACATTTGGATAAATTCCCGTTGTATTCCCGTTATAGAGTAATATCACTGTTAAAACCTACATGCAGAGTTACTATCACATTCTACTACGTTTATACCATGTGCTTTTGAGTAATTTAAGGATTATTACATTGGTGCATACTTTTCACTCATTACAATTAGTCTGGGAAATGACAAGTTCAAGAATTTCCGCTTTTCTCACAAACTATTTTTAAACTCAAACTTAATTGCATGTCATGCTTTTAAAGAAGTAAATTGTGACATGCATCTATATTTCATCTGCGTCATTTGGAGTTGCTATGGAGAAGTAAAACACTGACCCACGTGACCCCGCCCAAAGAAGGGCAGAAGTTCAGAAGTGGTACATGACAAAATATGAAAAGCTGAAACAATTTCTAATGTAAAACAACCTGTGTATTTTCCAGCAGCTACAGGGCCAGAGGTTTTATGGCAGTCCATCAACAATCCATTGTGAAAGGCTAGAGGGCCTGGCAAGAAAATACCACTACTGCTAATATACTGTATGTCTGCACATCACACTTTGTAGGGAATTAGGCTTGCAAACTTTGACTACTGTATAATGGACTGACTACTGATAATGCACAGCAAGGGCATGGCTACATTGTTTAAAAGTTAGATTTGTGCTACAAGCTGTAAATAAGTATGTCACAGGCACTTACAGGACTCGACTGAGGTGACAAAATATAAACAGATGAAAGTGACCCAAACAATTTATGGGTACAGGAAGAAATATGGACACGTAAACCATATTCATTTGTGCTTTTTAAACCTAATAGTACCTGTCTATACAATGCAAGTTAACAGGGTACTTTTACAGAAATTAAACAATCTTTTTTAGAGTCCTGAGGCAAAGAGTAGCAAGTTACAACAAAAACCACTCAAATAAAATTGATAGTTAAAATACACAAGACATGACAAAAAATCTTACGTACAAGAACTAGCCAGGAGCTATTTAATTACTTTATATAAACATAAAAGATTTAAGAACAAAGCATTTTTACTATTAAGAGGGGGAAGGGTTCACGTGTTAAAATTACAAATACAGAAAACATTTTAATGGTAGCCATAAACCCAACACACCCTAAAACAAGCATGAAGACTGATTAAAGCTTTTCTTTTCACAATCTGCCTTAGAAACCCACAACTACATTAACGTTACAGCACAAACTTAAGTCTTGAATAAGAAATTGGAATCAATATCTATCATAAAATAATATATGTCAAATATAATATATTTGTCAAATATGAAATACATGTCTAAGGTAAAATGGAAAATTTGTAAAGGACAGTGGTCTTTTAACCATCAACATCCTAGCATGTGGTCTTCTCCAAGCAATAAATCATACCACAAAGGGGTCAGATCCACACACAAACACTATGGAAGTACAAACACTAGAACTGTGTTTAAAATATAATATTTTATATAATATTTAACATTTTTTTACATAGTTTTGCAAGTAAGGTAGATCACAACTGCAACACAACAGGCAAAGCCAACAGTGAATATTTACCTTGAGGAAATATTTCAGAGCATCCTGTATTGTTGCAGTTGGTGGGTTTCCAAAAAGGGTAGCAGCCACCTTCCTCTCAATCCAGGATAGTTGAGAGACCTGCATTCCAAAAAAAGGAATTCCATTATTTGTTTTAAACCTTGAGACAGGTGATCTAATGATTTAAAAATCTCTTTTTAAACGAAACCTTAGTTCAATGTCTACTAAGTCACTTATTATTCCTTCATCACTGCAATACAGACATTTTTAAAAGTTTCTTTAAAAGAATGCTATGTGCGTAAAGAAAATAATGAAAAATGTTGTAATATAAAACTAGGAGTGACATTTATACTATCAAGAAACTTACAAGGTTGTGGCTCTCAATAAGAACACAACTTGGTTTGCTTTTTTTAATACTGCTTTAGTCATTGGGATGCAATACTCAAAGGCATACTCATTAGGAATTAATGAATATTCATTAGGACTCCTGCTGCCGCTGTGTACCACCAACACAACACTCCTGTTAGTCAACGCAGTTAGTGAATGCGTGAAAGAAAAATATTATTATTTCTGAAACATCATATAATTTAATTTACTTCAAACAACACACTGCTGTTAATGTCATTAGATTTTCATTTAACTTTCAGAAACTACTTGTGCAATTTGTTCACACCATCTGGAAAGTATTCTGTTGAAAGCATTCAATATCATCCAACGTCTTTTTGGAAAGACATGACAGAGTGTTCTACCTGTTCAATGCAACACAGCTATCCTTACAACACATTAACAGAAAATCCTTGCAGTTTGAATAGAACAATCCTTTGGTTTGGGCCTTGTTTAATAGATTTGGGTTAATAACACGATAAAATGTTTAACAGCACATCTATATGGAAAATAGGAGGTTTAGAAAAGCAAAGAAGCAATGCAACATACTGAGAGGAGTTTGAGGGTATATACGACTTGATTTCATATAAAGGTGGACAAGTACAAGTAAAACATTCCTTATCAGTGACACCGTATTACAAAAAGCCTTCCTTCTTGGCACTGGGACTTGGCAAAGTGCTAATTTTTCCAAGGTGTTTATACCAGGAATAACACAATTTGCCAAGGGAATTCAGGTCATGTTTGTGAAGGGTCTATATAGTGTTTCTCTGCACTCCATTAATTCTTAAACGTGTAATTGCAGGTTTACCATTGCTCTGACGATATAAAAAGGTTTCAAAGAAGGCCCTTGGTTGCTTATAAACAGTAGATTATTGTTTACAAGCTCTTCTTTCACACTTTGTTTCACAAGCTTGATGTAACACATTATTAATGTTGTTTGTGTGAAGGTAATGCTCTCTGCTGTTTCAGAGTACAACTTTGGTGCATTTCGTGAGACAGATGGCTTAAGAAGTGTTTTGTTTTATTTTAAGTTACATAAAGCGTTTACACAGTTAATCAGCTTTTCCTCATAAAAATGTAAATTATTTTAACCGATGCGCTTTTGCTGGTAAATTGTGGGAAGACTGGAATAAAGGACCTATGATTACCTACAGTATACCCACACTGTCCTTTCATAGCAATGTACTGGCAAGGGTAATATTTTTGTCCCTGTGTGTCTGCATGCAAAATAGACAATTATAATGAAACAGAACAAATATCAGTTATGTCTTTTGGTGGAACTTTGTGTTCAGTTCCTTCATAATGAGACCGTGATCTTTTACTAAATCCAAAACGGAATTCAGATGGAGGTCAGGAAGAAAGCAGATGGATTCAAATACCACACACTTGCCGTACATTTCAGCATGTTTATCTAAAATTGGAACACTGGAATAATCTGATCACTTACATGGAAACCATTCAATTTATTATTACTATTTTCAATTAAAAAATAATGATGCATTATTTCTGAAGTTAAAACTAACTGAGGGACTATGTTTCAGGAAGTCTCTAAAATACTGTGGGTATTCAAAGACTTTAGAAAATATTAAAATATTATTCAAGGCCCATAAAATCAAATGCATCTTTTAGCTCTTAAAATAATGTTGGGAAAGGATAGCTAAAAATGAATGCACATGTTATTTTATGAATACTGGCATTATAAAGAATTGCATTTCTAAAAGCATTTTTTAAAACTTACATTTAGAATCACCTTCACTAATAAGGCAAAACACTGCACACTAAAATAGGGCAAGATTATTGGTTGTGCCTTTACAATGTGTTTATGTTCATGAGAACTTACTGCATAGCACCATCTTCCCAGCAGGTAATAAGACAGTGGATCCTGAGGTTTTAGTTCAATTGCTTTATCAAGATGATCCTGAACAGAGAAAAATAAAAAAAGCAAATGTCATTGCCCTGCCTATACCAAAGCTGGTCTCTTGGACTAGTTCTATCATGCATAACAATACCCACAAACATTTCAGACGCACGCACATAAACCACACACCCCTGGCTGTCATGCAATCTCTCTGTTTCTTTTGCAGTCTCCTGTTGATATCTTCTAAGATATTTTAACTGTCAGAAACCTCTATAACAGGAGCCATAAAAGGTAAACAGTTTTTAGAAGTAGCTGACAAGTGTGATAAATGTTACGTGCCACATTCACAACTCTGGCTTCTGTGGTTGTGCATCATCCACTGAAAAGCAAACAGTTTCTCATGTACAGTACATTGACCATACTTCTATGAACGATTAGTAAGAAAGAACAGCATAAGCAGTTATTGGATATTACTGAAATTCATTATAGAAACATCTAGTATTTCTCAGATTCCGAGAATTAGCATACAGAAGCAAATTTTCTTTTTCTTTTTTGAAATATTTCTGTCTCCCATTTGCTGCAAAATGCAGAAACAATGCCCCTACATGTCCTGAATAAGTTTTACTATCTTTATACATAATGAGGAAACAGGAAGAATTTCATGGATTCAAAACAGTTTCTGATATTCAGAAAAATTTAAGCTATTTTTGCAATCCAGACATATTCAGAAAAATAGGATTTTAATTACTAAAAAAGCTTCATTTTTACTCTGGGTATCTTGAGAGTGTTTAAATGTTCACTCTTTTTATGGAAAACTATTTTTCCTGTTTTCTTACGCAGAGAATGTTTTTTACATCACCTTGGAAACTGATAAGGTAACTGTTTTATACACAAATCCAGGCTATGTCTCTAAACTGTATGCTGTGTTTGATACTGCTAATGTAAGGTGCTCTGGTCTTGAAACAACCTGTTCTGAGTTTACAATAAAGTCAAGGGGTCAGACTGAGTGCCTTATTTACACTTAAATACCATCGGTGTCAGTTTACAGATAGAACTTGACAAAGCTGGAAAACAATGTGGAAATAGGAAATTTTCTCCTTTGTTCATTAATATTGTAATCCTTTAGCTCCTGGCTATGGCATTCAGTGTTTGGCTTTGGCTGTGTGCATTCTTTGAATGTCTTCCATGATAACTTGGGTGTTCCAAGTTCTGAACTCTTCTCCATGCTCAACACAGCCTGAGGAGTTTGAAATCAGAAGAATTAATTAAACCCTTGGCCATAGTCTTGGTTCTGACTTTCTTATATAAAAAGGTACTTAGGTAATCTGTAGTAATATTTCAATCATTGTAACCTATAAAAGCGGACTGATACAATCGGCAAGACAGTACTTTAGCATGTTTATGTTTAGTGCAAGAATATGGTAGTAGGATTACACCTGCTACCAATTTGTTCCTATGAATTAAAGTTTGTTTTCTAACACCCCCTGGAGAATTTTCAGCATGTGTTAATATTGGAGGATACCTAATATGAATTTATTTATCTTATTGATCACGTAAAGTAAATTAAATAAATCTATTTTAATAAATTTCAGAACATTAAACTTAAAATTGAAGACCTTCCAAAAGATGTTTCTGAAGTTTGTGAAGGTGCCATTTGCACTTTTTACAAATTAATATATTTCTTTTCTGACCTTATTAATATGAGTGCTGAACCCTTTTGCACATTTGCCAAAACACACAATTGAATATGGTCTTTATTTGGTAACAGACTCACTAATCTTACAATATTAGGAGCTTACATTGAACAACCACTGCAAACAGCAAGAGAAACTCTTGCTGTTCATGTGGCCCCTATTGCATAGGTTTTGAAACACGTGGAACCAGTTTCCAGGGAGTGATATCTGAGAATTGTCCAGCACAAGGAAGGTGATGGAAGTCTTTTAAGAAAATTGTCTATTAATCTATTAAGGAGAATAATAGACAAGCTGAGTGGAATAAAAGGTGAATAGCACTAAGTCAGACCTTTGAAAATGTACTTAAATTTAAATCAATGGATGTGGTATTACTTCATTGTAGTTGACAGCCACACACTGCCATCTATTAAAACAGGTTATTCAATTGACTGGTCACTCGTAATACTTTGGTCAGTATATGCAGCCAATAAAATGTTAAATCCCTTAAACCACTATGTTCCCTTAACCCCACTCTCTTATCAATATAGTGTCTGTTAAGTGATGAACTGGATGGTTATTTGAGCGAAAGGCAAACAAAAAAACAGTAACACGTTTTTTTCCAGTAAGAATGAGCATGCAGTGATCTCCATGTTAGTAAAATAATCACAGCTGCATATGGAACAACTGATATCACTGTGTCTATCCTCATCTTAAACTCTTGAAGCTTAAAACACTCTACAGGTGATGCTGTATGGACATGTAGAGATAATCTGCTAGCAGAGACATTGGCACTCAAATGAGAACACTCCTCTGGGCATTCTGCTGTTCGGAAAACCCGGGTTTACTCACTGTCAGAAAGAAGTAAATTAAACAGTGCAGCTGCTTAGCATAACTGCCAAAACATACCTTGAAGAGATAGCCATTTTTGATTTTGTTCTGAACACTCTCGTACTCTGACAAGTAGCCACACATAATGGCAAACCTGTAAAAAAAAAAAGGTTAAGAAGTATGCTTTCAATTTCAAGCTTCATTCATGTGTATATGGTTCTCAGAAAAGCATGAATGACTTTTTATATGAAGATACTGCATAACTCTGTTATACTTGGATGTCACTGTTAGTCTTCTGGCTTCCCTAAAGCAACAGTATTACCTACATCCCAGCGTCCTTACTTTCCCATATAAAATGCACATACATACACCATAATTATAAAGGTGCCTGTCAAACTAAAAGTAATACTTTGCTTTGTTAAGTAAAAATAAACATCTACTGACATACAGATACTAAGTAGTGACACAGTAATACTGCACAACAGGATAGGTGCTAAATAAACTTTGAAAAGTGTCAAGGATACAGTACAGAGTGTGAATTAAAAATCATGGAACAAGATTTCAAATAAAAGGTGCTAGACCTTTTTCTGCAACTGCTTAAAGCGCATATCTTCCCATCTCCAAAATCCTTCTTTCGCGAAGCATGATGCATCGTTCCTGCTTTAACATCTGCCTTGTTCTAGGACGTGGAAAGTACACTTAATGTTCATTTTGAGTACTACAGTATACTGCAGTACTGTACGATAAGGGACACCAGTGGTAATGCACTTTACAGTTACATCTTTTGCCAGGTCACTGAGGTGCGCAGTGTAATTTAGGCATGTGACAAACTTAAGAAAATGAAATTCCAAACTTTGTTCCGATTCTTAGATCTCTTTCAAAGCCTTCACTGCTCCTGTCTGTTCCTAGTGACTCAAGACTAACAGTCTGCGCTGGTTCTGGGCACCTCTGGCCCAGGACAGCACAAGTCTGTATGCCCTGTGGTGCACGTGGTGCTGATTCTCTATCTTTACAAACTCAAAAAGTGGAGGCAGAGAAACAATACGCAATTTCATTCAGGTTTTCCTAAACCGAAACCCTGATTAAACCGTGAGGAAAAACTTCTTTTCCTTCACTGAATTTGTAAAGGAGACAGCAGCCCTCTTGCTTTTTTTTGAGAACCTGAGAGGGGTTTGTCAAACATGGTTGAGCAGGTTGTATGGCCTGATCAAAGCAGTGTGAATATAATGAAACTTATCCTGCTGGTACTCTTGTCAAATGCACCAACAGGGTACAAGCTACTTTTCTGTGAAGGAGCAGGAGGTTTAAGGGGTCACAGAAGTTCAGCTGCCAGGAAGGGGGGCCAGGCAGTTAAACCCGTATTTGGCAGTACATGTTCATAAACTGTCAAGAACCGTTCTCCTTCCACACTGTGGGCTCTAATCAGATAAACACAGCATACCATTGCTAAACGGATTGCTCCTGGAAAAGAAAACAATGAAAAATGAACTGACTTATCCCGTGTCTTGTTAAATTTCTCCTCTGTGCGTGACCAAAAAAAGACAGACCAAAAATCTGCCACTGTGAAAGCACATTCCTGTGTCCACTTCTGGATTTGTGCAAATGGAAAATTGGATGTGAAATCTGCTGCTTAAAGTTCCCTTGCAGGGCAATTTATGCCATCAGCTCTGTGTCAAGAGGGGACCCCAATGTGGTCTAACAGGAAAAAAAACAACAAGTAAGCTCCTAGTATAAAGCAACTAACATTTAAAATATATGTTACATGGTTATTCCATTAATGTAATGTAAACCATGCACGTCTATATTTATATCCAAAGAATTGTTAACTTATCATAGGTCCAGTACAAAACACTATGAAGGACTGCTGGTTATCTGGTTGAATCTTGAATTGTTAGACAGTGACAGTATGTTATTTGCTTTTTTACGAATGGTAGAATACTGAAGGAAGTTATTTTTGTTAACAGATTTAGCCTCCTGACTGACTGAACGTGTGCAAACAAAATGTCAATTTCCATGGAGACTCACTCATATTATAAGTGGATACATGCAAAGTTATTCATATTTCCAATTGTAGGTGCATTTGTGGGTCCTTTTTCAATTGAAGCTTCCTAATATCCAAAGGGTTCTAGAAAAACATAACACATTGTTTTACAGTCTTACTGGGGAGCATTTCAAAAGTACAAGGGGCAGTTTTCAGAACTTGCACACAGTGAACATTAGAGAAAGCTCTCCCATAACTTCCCTTTTCCACTGTGGAGTTTAGAATTGGGTATGAACTTGGGAATGTCAAATGGCAAGGATTCTCAGGTTACTCAAATGAAGGTGTACAGCAGTTGCAGGAAGCGTGCTTTAGTCAGGTGAACAAGTAGACAGCATCTGAAACTGTGCAGAACATGAACACGGTGGAAAAGCGAGGATTAAATCCTAGGCAAAATCAACGAGGTCCGTTAGGACTTTCCAGTAATATTCCCTTTAAACATCAGAGATTATTATATCCAATCTATGGGTTGCAACTCTGTGCTAATAAAACTGGTGCACCAGGTGTTGTTTTTGTTAAGCACCCATACTCCCACAATCATGTGCCGGCACTGTAAATCTCCCAGACTAACACTGAGCATTCTTCTCTCTATCAATTTATGAGTCAACTTAAGATGAAATTTTATAGTACAGCAACACTTGGTTAATTATATTCTTATTTTAATAGAATGTGATAATATCTACCAAAGAGCTAAAAATAATTAATTTAAAGGAAAAAAAATCTGCTTTCACGCAGAGAAAAATTAAACACTCTTAACACTCAGTCTTAGCTGATAATTCTAGCATGCTCCATCTTCAAAAATGGCAAAAATACTGTCAAAGATTTTTACTGCTAATAAAAATGTCTAATTCCTTTTCTAACAACCTTGGGATTGGGGCATTTTGGCAGCGTTTCACTCTAAATATGTGACTTCTAAGCTGCTTGCACAATAGCAAAGCTACTCCCAACACTTGACATGGAACACACTCGTCATACTCCTCCCAGGCACGCTAGGTTTTTCTGAAGCAGACTCTGACAAGATTAACAAGAGTGGGAAGGCCTTTGGTCAGCATGAAACTGGAACAGATGCCAACTACGATAAGAGCTTTGCACTCTAGTTAAAAAAAAACAAAGGTAGAAAACACTTAAGACATTCAAGGCAACACTTCCTAGAGGAAAATTAAAAATATAAAGATGAGAAATGAACGCCACTTCTGCAGAAATGAGATTAGTTTAGGTATACCTACAATAGGTATATATACACAAACTAACACAGACTTGATAATTGAAAGCTTTGATATCTCGGTCAGACAAAAAGATGTTTTATCTTGTGTTGAATAAATCAAAATGACACAATATGGACATTGGTCGGGGTCAGTCTGCATTGCGCTTTGGGGAATGATATTAATACATACAGTATGCTTCAAAATATAAGGTCCAAAACAACCAATCTAGTAACACGTTTAATAACTGTACTGTAACAAATGTACGAAGATAAATATCAGATCTTCACTGACCCAGACATCTTAATTTAAGTCAGAGAGAGAAGGAACGTGAGTGGATATTAAGAATATGACCTGAGGTTAAAGGTGCATAGTGCTTCAGATAATGAGTTTGATTGACAAATCCTTTCAGCTTAGTGCGCTGGTCTTGAACGGAACAGAAAGACCTTTGACATCCTTCTCCAGCTGATTTCAAGAAAAGATAACATGCAGCCAAGGATTATGGAACATACTGCTTGATACCATAACAAGCCGATCTAACATCAGAGGGTTTGTAATCAAACTACAGACAACAAGACATGATCACAGGGCGATCAAAAAAAATCCGACTTAAGTCTTCTTTGCTGTGGCTGAGTGAATTAAAAAGGGTCTATCCCCTTTCACCCTAGGTAAGCAGAACACCAGCACATGTACCATTAATAAGACCTACTACCTCTTCTTTTTTTACACACGCTACCCTATTCCTTGACAAATCACACAGGGAAATGAAACATATGTTTTAAAACAGCCAAATGTGAGTAATGTCTGTTATCGGACAGCTTTCATAATTTTTTGTTTTAAGAAGTGAATTTGAAAGGAATAACATATCAGTGCTTCTCTTAGCATTTCATAAAGCATAACACAAAGCCTCTTGGAATAAAAAAAAGTTAGTGACTAATTTTCAATGAAATTCTTTATAAGAGAAATTACTTGAGGCAGCAGTTTTCTTACATAGTGTTTATTTTAGCAGTGTCTGATAATACTCATTATTTTCAAAAACAATGTTATGACAAAAAAGAAACGGCACCCGAGGCGGTCTCTTAGATCATTCTTTTCCTCTAGTTTCAATGAGTTTCAATGAATTCATTTACAAAGAAAGGTGGCAACACTAAGCTGTTGAGCAATATTTTTCTCTATAAACCAGATTCAGTTTTTCTTATGGGCAACTGCTCCTTGATACAGAACTCCCCGCTTGATTAACAAAACACAAAGAGGAGTTAAGAGTCAAATGTTTGGCTGAAGCACAATATTTCATCTTTTATATTTATTTTGAATAACAGAAAAAACTGAACAGAAAATAAAAATGAATCTTGCAATTTAAATTTCAGTGTAGGGCACACGTCAAATCGTCAAATGATTTTTAAATAATTATACAATCATACAGGAGTCTGGAACAAAATACCCATTCTTTTGTTGAAGCTAATACCATGGGACAGTCTTGAAAGATCCTCCAACCAATCTTCTTTGTAACCTTTGATATATCCTTATGACAATCATATCATAAGGCAGGCACTGCTTCATATCTTATACCTTAGGCATTAAATAGTGTGGATAGTAAGAGAAAAATTATGTTAAATGGTAAAACATAATAGGTATCTGGGTATTTTATTAACATAAGCCTAAGAATTCCCTTTTATGTTCATTAGCAAAAACTTGGGAGAAAATATGGATATCACTAATTCCCGTTTGAGATTCCCAGCCATTAAAAAAGATTTTCTCCCCATAAAACTTGAATCTTTTTTTTATCTAATATATTAACATGAGAAACTAAGTGCATGCACCCCAGCTGAGCAACCCTATTCATTCTAGTAAAAGGTCATGATGTTCAGCTGGCTAAAACAAACATGCTTATTTTACTTTTCATTTAATCCCGGG